ATGAGGGCAACAAATGTATAGATGTGCTTTACACAATTGATCTATGTTTTGTGATGAATTGTATGAGCCCCATTTAATTGATTTTTAAAAAATGTAACTAATTGATATAACAAGAATATTGCACAATGGGTATATCAGCAAATGTGGTAAAGAAAGCCTTTGGTGCCTGGCTATTAAGAGCTATAGCATCTGGGGTCTTAAAGGCTTGAAGTTAAGCAAGTGAACGGCCATCTAGCAGGGAAGCAACAAGCCCACATAGAAGAAGTAAACCACCCTGTGCAATCATGCAGTGTCGATAAAACCAGGTAACAGGCACCAGAACCCAAAATAAAACAAAAAAAATCATATTGTTTAGAATGAGGGGGATAGGAGCAGAGACCCCAAACCCATCTGTAGACATAGAACATCCCTTCACAGAAGGATCACAAGGAAGGGATGAGTCCACCAGGGCGCAGTATAGCACTTATGAAACACACACTATTCCTCTGGCTCCTTGAGGCTTCCTCATCCTAGTGACCCAGCCCTGCCTTTCAGTTCTGGCTAGACTGGAGTGTGTACACTGGTACAGATAAGAGTTCGTGACACATGAAATCCAGGTCAGATAAACTCCTCAGGAACAGAAATGGGAGTAGCAATACCAGGAGTGTAGGTGGAAGGTGGGGGGAGGAGTGAAGGAAGAGGGGACCAATTGCAACGATCAAGGCAAAACCCAACCCCCCAGGGGGATGAACAACAGAAATGTGGGCGAAGCGAGATAGCAGTCAGTGTAAGATAGGAAAATAATAATTTATCAAGGAGTCATGAGGGTGAGAGTGTGGGGAGGGAGGGTAAAAAGAGCTGATGGGCTCAAATAGCAAATGTTTAGAAAATGACGATGGCAACAGATGTACAACTATTCTTGATAAAATAAATGTATGGAATGTTATAAGAGCTGTAAGAGCCCCTAATAAAATGATTTAAAATAAAAAGCAAACCAAAAAACTGCTGCCTTCCTTATATTATAAAATACACCATTTTGAAGCCCTGTATTGTCCCTGATTCATCTGGAATTGGGCTTCTAGTTAATTGTTGATAGAGATTAATTCAGTGTAGTCTGTACAGACGTGTGTATGTTTAAATTATATGTTTTTATTTTCAATAAACATATCAAGATACAAAAGATTTTAGGGGAGAGTAGATTTAAACAGAGATTGTGTTATTTAAATTTTTTGCTTATAATTATTAGAAATCCACAGAAAATAGCTCTAACAATAGATCATTGCCACCAAGTCAATTTTGACTCATGGTGACCCCATAGACTAGGGTAGAAGTGCTCCCTAAGAGTTTCAGACTGATTTTGCAGAAGCAGATTCCCCAGGGCTTTCTGTCATGTCACTGCAAGTTGGTTTGAACCACCAAACTATAGATTGGTAGTCCAGTGCCAACTATTTACACCACCTGGAGCCTTTCAAAAAAACCTACAGAAATGGGGCAAGGGGTACATTATAAGAAACTGTTTCTCAGAGAACCCAAAGGCACAGGCAAAGTACCTTTGGACATTAGTGAAAAAGTGGTTGGATTGTCTACCGTTTCACGAGTCCTCTCTCTTCCATCACGCGGAAGGACGTTCTCCCTCCTTATCATAGGTACAGTGACTGACTAGTAGCTGGGTGTGTGTGCACATTGTTCAAAAGACTCCTCCGTAGACTGAAGCCCACCTATCTTAGATTAAGCCCTTGAGGAGCCAACTCAGAGAGTCTCTGTTTGGGCCTAGTATTCTGGTCACCGATGACACGATGTGGCTGCTGCTACTGTAGCGTGGCACTTGTGGGAGAAAGGACAGCTCCCAGGCCAGGATGAGGAGACAAATGGATAGTCATTCTCTTGTAAATTTTTCTAAATTTAAACTTACCAGAAACATGAGTTATTATTTGTGTGTTCATTATACTGTAATTATTTGCTGGTAATAAACAATGTGTAGATTTGCTTCTTCCTGTCTTGTGTTATAGTTATTTATGAACAAGTACTATGCTTAGTACTAGAATGGCAGTTCCTGGAGAGCCAGGTATACTTTCCTTTGTGTGTACCACTGCACTTACAGGTTTTATGTCCTGCTATTTGTATTCAATGAGATTCACTATTGAGTAGATAACTGCAGTTTTACTTTTAAATGGAATATTAAGCACCTCATCCTTTGCGTCCCCGTTTTCAGTGGTATGCAATCTGTATTAGTGATGTCGGAGATTATGAAGGCATCAAGGTTAAAATTGCAAATGCCTACGTCATCAAGGAACATTTTCAGGTACTGATAAGTCATTAACTTGTGTGAATATAAAAACTATTTTTCTAAATAGATTTCTGATTAAGTTGTTTAGTGTTATATAAAAACCCACCTAAAATTTAGTGGCTGATAGCAGTGGCAGCAGACTGTTTCTCACAGTTCTCTATATGAAGCAGGGGTAGTTCTGCTCTGCTTGGTCGAGCTGAGGGCATTGAGATAGCTGCATTCATTTGGGACTCATGTCCACAGTGCCACTTCTCATCTGAAGCCCAGGGGTCTTCACAGCACGGTAGCTGTTAACAAGAGTGAGTGTTCCAAGAGAAAAATGCTATTGTGCAAACTTGTATCAAGTCAGCTACATTTTGTACTACCCTATTGGCCTAAACCAGAGACGGAGAACCTTTTTTTCTGCCAAGGGCCATTTGGGCCTTTATAACATCATTTGTGAGGCATATGAAATTATCAGTTTAAAAATTAGTCTGTTTTATTTTTCCAAACATTTAATGTAATGGCTAGAACTGCTTTTCTTTGGTGAGCCATGTGATGTTCATTAAGTGATAGGATGATTTTCCCCAGTGGGCTGGACATTCCCTACCCCTGGCTTAAACCAATTGATTTCTGCTGTTTTCATTTCAAATTTTATTATTACAACTAAAGTCAGAAGGAAATATCTTTTTCCTGTGCTTGAGGGACAGCTAAACTAATGGTGAGGAAGATTATCAAAGAAAGGGTTTCCTTCAGAGCAATTCCTCTCAACCTATTCCATAAGAAAACTAGACTAATGCCCAAGATATTGTATCGTTATATATAACACATGCGTTTCTCTGTCATGCATCTAGAATGGTAGTAGCTCTATCCCATTCTTGGAAGAATTGCGAAAATAGTCTCTTGGATCATTTTTTGGTAGGGCTTACTTTTCTAGCAGAACTCTTCTAGTTAGGAAAGGTTGCTTAGAGAGCACAGTTTATCTGAGTACTTTAACATATATTTTCTATAAAGTCTATTTAAGGAGAAGTAAAATTTAGGTTGCTGATTATTATTAAAGCTAGGTCTCCACCAAGTCACACTCCTTTATCAAATGCCTGCTATTACTACTTCTAACGTTAATCAATGTTTTGTGCTGCCAAGTTGATTCACAGAGAAATGTTTTAGGCAGAGTCGAAGTCCATAGAATTTTCTAGGCTGCAGTCTTTATGGAAGCCAGGCCTTATCTTTCTTTTATACAGAAGCTGGTGGATTGAAACCACTAGCTTTTCTTTTCATTAGAAGCCAAGCACTGAACCACCATGCCACCAGATCCAGTAATACATTGAGTGACTGGTACCTCACTACAGGTGAAAATAGTAATGATGTTAGTGACAGAGAATAAGTACCAGGTACTGTGCTTAAAGTCACAATCGTATGAAGTAAGTATAGTCTCTATTCTACAAAAGAGTGGGCTTAAGTGTAATGAGAATATAGAGCATGCCAAGGTCAACAAGGCAGAGCCATTGAACTGTGCGTTGAACCCTGGCAGTCATTATTTTAGAGTCCATGGTCTTAGAGTCCATTAGAAATAGGTGAAGATGTGTACTTGCATTACCAAACTCAAAATGAAAATGGGGGTTTACTGGGAAATAAACACTAAGGAGTCTTAATTGACTTATTTTTTTTAAGTTTTAATTTTAATGAGCTTAACATTCACTGGTGGGATTTCCTTAGTGCTTTTCAAGAAATAATGGAGAATAATTTCTTTAAAGTTGAATATAATTCTGTAACTTAGCTTTATACTAATTCACATAGGCCTTTACATAGTAAATAAAAATTAGGGAGTTCTCATTCACATATTTTACACTGTATATTCTGAGTTGACATTTCTATGAGTGACTAGACTATAGTATAGAAAATTAAACCAATTCCTGCATACAGAAAGAAACATAAAAATTGTATGCCTTGTTCCCTCTTTTAGGGCAAAATGTTTTTCATTATTTGTATGCTATTTGATATAAAAAGGATTTATTTTTTATTTGGAAGAAACATTCAGAGCTATAAATTATGTTTCCAAAGCTAGTTTCATTTAGATATTTCATGTTTTAAATATTTGTTCTCAACTTTGTAGAACAATAATCTTGTTACTAGTTATTAATAACATAGTGAAACTGACATAGTATGAGGGTAGGGGAAATGAAGTTGGTGTTAATTATGGTAGCAGAATTGAAATGTAAGGCAATATATATATGTGTATATATACATATACATATACATACATACACACACACATATATGTTGTTAAACCTGGTTTCAGCAAACAAAAGAATTTTTGGTGTTTAGAAAATATATGTGATACATTCTCTTATTTCTTATTAGAAAGCAATTGAACTGAACCCTAAAGATGCTACTTCAATTCACCTTATGGGTATTTGGTAAGAAACTTTCTTTTAATATTTCAATGATATTTTGTATGATTTTATTTTGTACTATGTATAATAAGTATCTTATAGTACATTAAAACAACATGTAAAATATGTTAACACACGATTTGACATAGTCTGGAGTGTTAACTCAGTTATTAACTGGCACCTACATCTTTATTAGAAACAACTCAATTTGATTCTGATCACGTGAAACCCTGTTTTCAGATCATTTAGACGCATGTACTCAGACTTCGAGGATATTGTAGCTATTCCGTCAAAACTTTAACTTCCCTTTGTTAGGAAACACTATTCTTATTCCCATGAGAGTAAGTAAAAAAATGTTACTACAAAATCATTACTCTTTATTAAACAAAAATATTAAAATCTAAAGTGTTGTTTCTCCATCTGTACACTTCCGAATGTGGTGTTTCCACCTCTAATCCTTCCCTAAAGAATTCTCTGCTCTTCAGTTGACAACTCATCAGATGACAGTTTGCATCCTTGAATGACTCAGTTGTGCGCCCTCAAGTGTTCTTTGAGTTTGGGGATCAAAAGGAAGTCTGTGGGGGAAGACCGGGTCTTTCCAGGGGCTAAGGTGAAGCTTCACACAGCAGTGCTTCCTGGAGGGAATGAGCACACGTCAGAAGGGAAGAAAAGCCCCTCAGCACAACTTCCCTGGCCTTTTTCGCGTCACTGAAGTTCACTTTTCAAAATAAGCCCTGTGTCCTTCCAGAAAATAGAAAAGATTGAACCCTGGGCTGGAGAATTCATGCAGAAGCCTGGTTTGTGATCCAAGTGGGTTTTATAAAGGACAGAAGTCGGTTCAGGTTTTACACAGGCACCTTCAGGACACTCGACACCCACGTGTGGAAACCTGAGGCCAGAAACACCTCCAGCCCTGCCTCCCTGAACTGTGTAGGAGCTGCTGGAAGAGCCCAAGAGACAAAAACTTCGGGCTCCACCCCACTCCGCTTGCCACTGGGAGGCGTGGTCAACGATACTGTTTGACCCTATTGGCTGAATCAAGCCCCCACCTGCCCTAGGTGGGGTCCCACCCAGGTTTACTGGCTTCCTGGTTCAAAGACCTGAATGTGAACATGCCCTCCAGCCTTAAGCAGCTTCCAACTTCCTGTAAGGGGAAGGGCTTTGGCGTGTAGAGACAACCCCTAGTTCTGCCTCTAGCTACCGAACACACCCTCTTGGGACTGTTTTGGCTGGACCTCTTCTTTTGAAGGCACCAGAGCAAGATTAAGACAAGTGTACAAGGCACTCCATAAAACTCATAGATTCCATTTTCTTTTAATTCCATTTTTCCTCAAACTTTTTTATGCCCCCCCCTCCCCCCATATTACTAAGAACTTGTCTGTAGCCACTCACTGAGTGCAAAGACTTGTCAACATGTTTTGCTTCAAAGGAGTCCTGGTGGTGCTGCCAGGTGAGCACTGGACTGAACTGGAACCCCAGTACCAATAATTTTTGACTTACCATCATATTCATGAGGCTAAATGAAATTAGGTTAATCGAAATTTAGTAATACAATAGGCCTTAAAAGGGTCTTACACAGTTTCAAAATATGTTAATCTGACTAGATTCTAAGGAACAGTGTACTTCGACTTTCTGTATCTTTTCATTTTTATCTGACCTTGTGCCCAATTAGACCATGATTTTGCTGGTCTGAGATGCATTTTGTGTTAAATGCTTGCTGATTTAGACTCAATACAGGTTGGCCACTCTTCTTTGGTGTAGATTACAGAGGGAAATATTGTCATCGAAAGGATTAACAGTATAAACAGTCCTTTATTTTACTCATTTTAAAAGAGACATAAATACCCCATAGTACAGGCACTGGGACTAACGGTTACTGAAGGACCGTCAGTCAGTCATTCAGATGCCAGCAATCAGACGTGTGAGCGAGGAATTCTGTTGCCCAGTCTAGACTGATGAGAGCTCCATTACTGTCTTACTTCTCTTAAGAATATATGAAAATTCATGGGCATTAGTCATGTGTCTCACCCTTTTATGAATGTAGACTTAGAAGAGTGTTGGTCGCTGTATTTATGCATAGCATGTGTAGTTGTTTTCCTTTTTCTTGACTATATTTCATTATTTGAAAAGGCTGGTGGGAAAAAGGGAGAATGGTTCTGTTGTACATCGTTGCAGGGAGTAGATGAGGGAGATGATCACTTAACCCAGCACCTGGCGCAAAGTGAGCACTCAGATGGTGGATGGTATTCTCTATTAGCATGATGGCTACGCTCACTATTTATTCATAATTAATCACAAAGTACACCTGCAACTGTGGATGAATACAAGTCAGCCTCTAGGTAACTCAGCATGGCTATTAACCCGCTGGAGAGCATGTAAAATACTAATTTTTCAAAATACAGCAGGAGGAAACTCCTTTTATAGTACCTATTGAGATGCTTAGCTCTTTATAAGAGAAGAGAAAAATGCTGCAGTTTTAAATACATAATTTTGTTTCCTTACAGGTGTTTCACATTTGCAGAGATGCCTTGGTATCAAAGAAACATTGCTAAAATGCTGTTTGCAACTCCTCCTAGTTCCACCTATGAGGAGGTAGTGTGATGTCCTTTTTAAATTTAGTAGCAGTTTCATAACTACCAGTCTACTGAGTCACCCAGCTGAAGTCTAATTCAGTGAGGGACTTGAGCAAGTTACTAATTCTCCTATTCCACTGTCTATCACTTTTATTTCCTGTCCATGGCTGGTGAGTGTGGTGGTTTTTTTTTTTTTTTCTTTCTTGCGTTACGTGAGTGGCTAACAATTCTGGTATATTGTCAGCTAACATAGACCATGGCTAAATTTTATTTTCCTTTTCTGTTCGGTCTATATTATATAAAAGTAAAAAAAACCCAGAAAATATAGTTACTCTTACCTTGCATGATTAAGGTACATTCTACACAATAATGAATCATTTATCTGAAAAAGTAAAGGATGTGATCTGTGTTGGTAAAGGAACATTAATCCTATTTCTGTAAAAAGTGAGTATGAAAGGCTCATATTGTTTCATATTTTAAGACCTTTGTGCTATTCCTGTTAAAAATACTTTTAAAGTATTTCTTGGTAAACAATTTGGTTTACTCATCACAAAGAACACTTGCAGAGTAAGGATGAGAGTCACTGCAAAGGCTCTCCCAGTATGTGTATCATGGAGAGGGGCTCGGCTTTTCTTGTTCTAGGTCAGTGGTTCTCAGATACGGTTCCTCATGTGGTGGTGACCCCCAACCATACAATTATTTCGTTGCTACTTCATAACTATAATTTTGCTAGTGTTATGAATTGGCCAATCTCTGTGAAAAAAAGGTTCGTTCAACCCCCAAAGGGGTTGCGTCCCACAGGTTGAGAACCGCTGGGTTCGGTGTTTGAGTGCTTGACTGCTAACTGAAAATGTGTAAGCGTGAATCTACCCAGCAGCTCAGCAGTAGTTATTGCAGAAGAAACAACCTGATTATAGGCAAGAACACCCTCCCTCCAACCCCCCCACCAAAGAAACCCCCATGGGCAGAGTTTGAAACTTACATTTTTTTGGTAGGAATTTCAATAATATAGGGATTTATAAAACTCACTGGTATAATTTATCTGAGAAAATTTAGTTTTTTATTATATCTAATTTTTGCTAGTAGTCACTATTAGGATAGGAAAAGGCCAAAACAGCTGTGTTTTACATGATAGTATTCTTTCCTCTGTATAGTATGAATGAAGGTTGAAGACACTGTGCTGAGCCAAATAAGCCAATCACAACAGGGCAAATATTGTATCACTTCACTTACATGAAAAGAACCGAGAAGGCAAATGTCTAAAGACCAAAATTTCTGAGTAGTTACTAGGAGTGGTGGTGGTGGTGGTGGGGGGGGGGTGTTGAACTGGGATGGAAAGCTTGTATTGATTAAGGGTGGGTTACACAACTGAATTTTATCATTATTGTCAACACAGCATCAAATTGACATGGCATCTTGAAAAATAAGCTAGGAAGCCTGGGGACAGTGAGTGTATGCTAACGAGCAAGGAGCAACTCAGAAGCGGCGGGCAAGCACTCAGGGGCCCTCCGTGGGACACGTGGAGACTGTGCACTGGGCATCTGCTGTGTTCATTCTCAACAACACTAAATTAATACTACGTAGAGTAGCTTAAATGGTAGAAGAAGAATTAGAGTATCAGACTCAAAAGAACAGTTTTTTCCCTTGGAACAATATCAATAAAGGACTTCATAAAGTTCACAAATATAACTTAGGCCTCTGAGTAAATTTAGGGTTTTATTAGATTTTACGAGCAATCAATGTAAGATTTGAGAGAAGAAAGGTTAAGTAGCTGGATTCTACATAATATTTCCATGAGTGCTGCTAATTTTGTATTGTTCTAAACAGCAACAAAGTTCCTTTCAGAAGTGGACTATACATTCATATATTATAATCCTTTCTCTCCAATTCTATTAACTACTAGAAATCCTGCTAGCGTCCTGGTTACGAATTGGGCTGTTAACTGCAAGGTCAGCAGTCAGAAACCACCAGCCCTAGGTGGGAGAGAGACGGGCTTTCTATTCAGATACAGTGTTAGTCTCAGAAACCAAGGGGCAGTTGTCTCTTGTCAGAATAGAGTCAATAGCAAGGAGTTTGGCTTTGGTTTTCTATTAACTGTTACTGTTGAAAATGGACTATTAGGTGATTTAGTTTACTTTCATTTAACACTAGAGAGGCTGTTGGAGAAAATGCATTTACTCGTTTTATTTGTGTTTTTAACAGGCCTTACACTATTTTCACAAGGCAGAACAAGGTAACATGTTGGTATCACATACTCATAGAGTTAAAACTGTGTGAATGCAGAGTTGCATGAATATCGATTTTTAAATTTTAAAAAAATTACTTTTTTACAGTAGTTGTTTTAAGACAGGTAAAAATTTGTTTTTCAATTTAAAAAATTTTCATCCAGTGAAGAGCACCTTAACAAGAAATAGGTTTTAGAGCTCTAATTCTGGAGTGGTCCTTTATTGTATATAATTCAACTTTCCTTGTTGGATCCCTGGTGGCACGGCCTTGGAAAGCCGAGGGGGCAGTTCTAGTCTGTGCTGTCGAGTGGCTGTGAGTACGAATCCCCCTGAGGGCGCTGGCTTGTTGGAGCTGAAGTTTAGACAGGTGAAATGTTTAGCACAAGATCATACAGCTAATGATCCTCCAACTGCTGTTGAGTCGATCCCAGTGCTGCTCAAATGTCTGTAGAAAACCTGGTCCTCTCGATGATGTTCACTAATCATCAAGCACGCTCCCAGTGCCTGGGATGTGACAGGCACTTAGAGTACACCAAGGAACGGAGAGATGAAAAGAAAATCACTCTACTTACAACGCTTACATTTTGTCTGGAGTCTCAGTTTTTCAAATATAAAATGGAAATAATACCTATTTCAGAACACTATGAAAAGTAGAACTATGTATAATATAGTGCCTATCACACAACAGGTACTTGGTAAATGCTAATTATTATTTTAAAAATATTTGTCTGAGGTATGAATAGTTGATCAAAAGCCAATAATAGCGTAAATCAGTTATTGGCATAAAATTTATTATTAGAACTCAGGCCAGAAAAAATGAAACCAGTGAAAATAAAAGCAACATTTCCTCTGAGGTAAGTTTGTTTTTCTTTCTTATATACAGTGGATCCCAACTTCTACAGCAAAAACTTGCTGCTGTTAGGGAAGACCTATTTGAAATTACAGAACAAAAAACTTGCTGCTTTCTGGCTGATGAAAGCCAAAGACTATCCAGCACACACAGAAGATGACAAACAGGTAAAGTAAGGCACACAGGTGTCCACTGAGGCACTGGTAAATAAAAGTAATTTAAAAACTTAAAAACCAGATTCTCTAGATACAGGAGATTGTGGGGTGAAAATAGCATTCGTTTCAAATGTGAATTTATTGACAGCACACCAGTTTCCGTATGCAATTGCTTAGCTGTTATCACCAAAGAGAGATTACTTGCTGATTCCCGTTTGACATAAATGACAAATCAAGTAAGATTTATAAAACGTCAAAGGCAAAGTATGTGCACTGAAGTGGAAGAATTCTCTGAAAGAGTCTTATTTGGTTACTGTCAACTTTTTTTCTTGCTATGCCCTATATCCTAGAAACTGTTAGAAACCATATTCCACATTATGAAAATTTTCACAAGGTAACTTCCCTGCTATTCTGCTTCTAACACCTATTTTTCTATTTCAGATACAGACCGAAGCTGCTCAGTTGCTTACAAGTTTCAGCGACAAGAATTGAGAACTTTTTCAAAGACAGCACATGACTACCTAACATCGCCTTTTCCTCAATTTATAAATACATTTACCATAGATGTTTTCTCTCTTTTTTAATGCGACAGTGTAATAAATTAAATACAGTGTTAGGTTTCCTCATAAATCACCAGATAAAAGGAACAGATGTCATAAGAGTGATGGAGCTATCTCCCGGATTCCGTGGCTGGTTATTTTGCATCTGTGCGACACGAGCAATATAGAGTGGTCAGTAAATCCTAGGGAAGATTTACCACATTAGGATGGCAGATGAAGCAAAGACAGCTCCGTGGGAGAGGGGAGTTGGGTTGATGCAAAGTTGAGATCTTGCGGAGCGATTACTGTGCAAGTTCCAGTGTCGGTGTGAAGTGGCTAAATGATGTATCTTGGAGGGAACCTGCACAAGGAAAATAAGTCAGGAGGGGACTAAAAATGGAGTTGTGTCCTTTTCAAAACGTGAAGTATTTTCACAATGGCTTACACGGAAAACCACACTTGGCATTTTAAATGGAAATCAAAATGAAGGTGAAGCAGTGTTACTTGAGACCTGGGTGCCACTACTGTAAATTTTAAGTTTTGTAAACAGAAGTGTTTATCAACTATCTTCTCCCACATTTTGCATTTAGCACACACACAGTCTATTCACCTGTTCTGTAGGTTAACGATGTACTTCTGGTAGTAATCAATGCCCAAATGGGAGGGGGAGTAACATTGATTGTGATGGTTCTTGGTGGTTTAGAGTCACGTAATGATGTAATCTAGCGACTACATAAGGAGGCAATCTGCCGGCTATGTAATGATAGCCTCTTCCGTGTTATGGTCTGCTGCTGTATCCCCCGTTTTCTAATGGCAACCTGGCCTTTGGCACCTAACCATTGTCAGTGTGTGAAAAATACACGTGCAACAAGCACCATTTAGATCACGGTGTATACACAGGTTTCCCCTCAAAGGATTTGGAAATTCTTTTGTTACAACCCCAAACTATGGGTGTGTCATGTTGCTTCTTTTTGTTTTATCCTGTAACTTTCTAAGCAAAAAGGAAAACCATGTAGTGAACTCTTTATACCCACCACTCACATTCAACAATTGTTAACCTTGTGTTAAATTTATGTATGTATTTTGTCATATATATTTGTACATACAGTTCTAAAAATTGGAAATCGAAAGCATGATGAAATGTCACCACTCCATAGTTCAGCATGCATCTTTGCACAATAAGGATGACCTCCTAAAAAACAACTAAGAAAGCTAATCATTTGCCAACATCGTCTGATATCCAGCCAAACTCCCATTTTCTCAAATGTCTCAGAACATAGCAGAGGGTACCAAAATAACCTTTTTTTTCAAAGCTATGTGTTTAAATTTTTTTTACAAAACAACCATATCACACTTAGTACATTTGTCAAATCTGCGATTCCATTCTTGGAAACATTTTCAAACTCATCTGTTTGGATGGTTGACAGCACCGCCCTCGTTTGTTTGGCTGCCTTTTCTATGCCATCAAATCAGCCATCACAAAAATGAGGTTTCAGCAAAATTCCTTTTATGAAAAAACTTACTGTGACCAGAAAGAACCTTCCCAGGTGGGGCCACTGGTGCAGGAACTCCGAGCGAGTTGCTTACTGCTTGCACAGGGAGAAAAATGCCTATGAAACCTCTGCTCTGCCCAGCGCAATTCCAGTTTTTTTTGGGTACCCTCTCATACATTGCATTTGATTTAAATTTGATCTACAACTGATCCATTTTATTCCCTCCTGATAATCAGTTTTGGAGGCTAGTCGATTTGCCTTGTGGATCACTTCAACTTTGACTGTCACAGTTTGAGAAGAGTGTTACATGTTTCGTCCAACATTTCAGACTCCACTTAGTTGCATACTGGATCTTCACCTATATTTTATCAGTGTGATTTTTCTTTTTGTTTCATTTTCGTGGCTCTTCATTTCTCCTAATCTCTTACTATTCTTTTTCTTGTATGTATGCTTCCTTAATATACCTACCTGGTTTTCATTTCTCAGAAGTCTGTCTTCATTCTGCCCCACCTTTTTTTGTCTTCAGTTTACCCCAACTGATTTTTGTTGTTTGCCATGTTAGATCTTTAGGTTGCTTACCTGAGTTTCTGGTTTGGATTTTTTATCTGCAACATTTGTTTAGAGTTAATTCTTATTAGCATGCTATTTTACTATTTTCATTGGACATTTTCTCATTTTCAACTTTCTTAGAATGACTATATGATGTTCTTTTCAGAGGATTTGAGTGTGTGTGTGTGTGCGTGCATGCATGCATGTACGCAGGGGGGCGGGGTTTAATTACCAATAATAGCAAGTAATTAAATGGGAGGAGATGAAGAAATGGGAAGAGGTGAAGGGGTGTCAACTAAGTCCGTACAGAAGTACTGGTGCCTGTGTAATCCATGGATAGTAAATAATAAAAGCCAAGACCAGAAGAAAGAACTGGACTAAAGCCTATACTGAGCATCCAGTTGGCAGAGGGCTGTGGATGACAAAGCTGAGTCCATTTGTAGAGTCACCATGTAGATCGTCTCCTGTGAATTCTCTTCAGGAGAGAAGCAGGTTTTGCTACTCCGGTAAACAGTTCCAGAAACTCCCGGGGCAGTTCCACCCTGTCCTAAAGGGTTGCCATGAGTTGACACCAACCCCATGGCAGGTTTTTTGGTTTTGAATTGTACACATTGACTAGTCGTGTGGACAGCGTTTCCTCACAGTGCATTAAAAAGTGGATTACTGCAGATATACATGGTTACAATTTAATGTTTGTTCATTTAAATGTTAAAATTTACCATTTTTTTCCCTTTATGACCCAATTTTAACTTGTTCTCAAACCAAACTCACTGCCATTAATCCTGACTCACAGCAACCTGATAGTACAAGGTAAAACTGTTCCTGTGGGTTTCCAAGACTCTTTACAGGAGCTTAAAACCCTCGTCTTTGTCCCTTAGTTTTTTTTAATATTGATTTCTCTTGGGTTGAGGTTTTTCTGTTTTATGATTATTATTTTTAATGTTTTTCTTTATATGAAATCCAGAATAGATATATCTATAGAGACAGTAACTAGATTAATGGTTTCTTAGTGTTATGATGGGAGTTGTTTTTTTTTTGGTGGGGGGGAGCTAATTCTAATTTATACAAAAATGAACATAAAACTGATCCTGGTGACGACTGTACTACTCTAATATACATAAGCCTTTAAATTGCATAGTATGTGAGTTATATGCAAACAAAACAGAAAAACTAAGTGAAAATGAGGGTACTCTCTTAAAAGCGGTCTTACGAAATGAGGTACCTTTCAATAATAAAGCCTTTTATTCAGGGGAGAGTCTGGTTTCTGATACCTTGTAGACTCAAAATTTTAAATAGATTGAAAGGAGATTGCAAAAATGACAGTTCAATGTATCGTTTCCCCCAGTGGTGAAGTCTGATACGGACAATGGTCTAGTCCACTGAGCTCGTTCATGTTTTACCTGCACCTGCGTGTGTAGTTCTGTGTGGTTTCACTGTGTGTGAATGTAGGGAAGGACAGAACTGTCCCACCGTAACAAAATCTTCCGTGCTGCCCCTCTAACTGATCCCTAACCGCTGGCAACCAATAATCCTTTTTCGAACTCTACAATTGGGTTATTTTGAGAATGCTGTCAATGGAATCCAATAGGAATATTTGGGACCTGCCATTTTTCATTCAGCACAATTCCTTGGGGGTCCAACTTTGTGCTATCAATAGTTTGCCCCTTTTCAATGCTGACTAGTATCCCCTTGGCATAGATAAGCCCGTATTTTTAGTCATTTGGGCTATAATTGCTTTGCTATGGCAAATAAAGCTGCTATGAACATCGTGCACGGAGTTCGAAGACGTTTTCCCTTCTCTGGAATAAAGGCCCAGGAAATTCAGCGGCTGGCGTTTTGGAGAAGCTTTGTCGACCTTTTCCTTTACTCACCAGTGGATGTTTCTGATGTATCTCGCCCAGATCCCGAGTCTGCACTTTCCAGGTTGCTTCGTCTGAACTTCCAGGAGCCACATTCCCTAGGTCTCAAACGGACGCTTCCTCAGTCAGCTCGAGGCCCGCTGCAGGGAACCAGGGCCGTCACTCTCCTTCCCTCTGCTCTCCTGTGAGCCCCACGTGGGAGCTGTTTATCTCCTCACGACCATGCAGACAGGGATTTGTAGTACTGTCCTCTAAGTGTGTTAAGAGCCTGCGCTGTTTTTTAAGACCCCCGTGTGGATCTGCTCTGCTGAGGATTAAGAGTTTGACTGTAAGTGGCCCTTACTCTGAGTACTGAGCAGCTTTGTAACTTCTTGATGGTAAAATTCTCTCAGCCTCACTTTATCTGCAAAGAAAGCATTAAAACAAAAAATAACCATGGACTTGTGAAGATTAGGGTTATTTAAAGGATTTATCAGTAGACACTAAAATACTAATAGTAAAAATAATATTATCTGAGTACTTAGTTGGGATTTGTTTTGGATTTGGCTCCATCACTGGGGTATTGTATGCCTTCACCTGGTGTTCACTGTATTTATCTTGGATTGTACCCGGGTGTTACTGAGGACGTGGAGGAGGGCTATGTTTGGCCTAGGGTACAAGGACTTTAGAGTTACTAATGACTGTCCTGTTCTTTTACCACCTTCTGTGGGCAACGACCCATGTCTGGTGACCCAAGAGGATACACTATGTACAAAGAAACCTAAAAAGGCAGACTTTGGATAGAGCCTGGGTTTATCTCCCGAGGGGCAGAACCACATCCCCAGGTGATTTCAAGTTTGACTGTTCAATGGGTTTGGGAGGGAGGGGCCGGGGAGGTGTTACGGAACCCTTATTCTCTCATCTGCATATTTCAACAAAATTTCTCTTTTGCTTCTGCAATATCCTCCTGAGGATAATTTCAGGTTCAGTTATAACACTCAGACCCAGCAAGACTACAGTAGCCACACTTGGCAGCAGTTTACTCAGGAAGTTAGAGGACAGGAATCAAAGGTGGCCAGCAGTGTGTAGCAGACCATCCACGCCGCTGTCCAAGAACAACCATCTTCTCAGTCTTCTGGGTCTTCATAAAGGCATGCGGTTACAGTTGACACGCTCAGGAGCCCAAAGCTCTGACCGCCTGCCAAGTGCCGTATACATTCAAGTATAAGCCGACCTGAATCTCAGCCGAGGTACCTGATTTTACCGCAAAAACTGCATAAAATGTGCTGAAAAACTCGGTTTATACACAAAGTATGTATGGTAAGTATCCCGAAATGGCCCAGTTCAGGCACAACTTACCAGTCAAGGGTCTTTTTGAATACGCAAAGTTGTCTGGCAACATGGTAGACACATACCAGTGCATCCAGTTTTCACGGTCAGAAGAGCTGCTAGTTGCTTACCTGAAGTCAGACGTTCAAGTCTTTGACACTCACCTGTCTAGGATGGAGAGAGTACTAAAGAAAGAAACCACTGGTAGTTTCTTTCCCTGGAAGATGGGCATAACCAATCTTAGGGAGAAAATTGGTTTGTGCCTATCTTATCCCCTGGGCTCATCACTGAAGTGAAATGGCAATGTGTGAACCCCTTTGAGCCTCCCTCTCTTGCCTAGTTCCTCATGAACCTCATGTCTGGGCACAGGGACTCTGCACTTATAATTTCTTTATGGTTCGCCCACTGCAGGGCAGGGACACACACAAGTGAAGTGGGCCACCCATTGTCCAGTTCCTCAGACTGCCAGTGAGGAGGTAGGATGGCTCTGCCTGCCAGGCAGCGTAGTTAAAACTGGGTCTGAGGAAAGGCACTGATGGTTCTCCAAGGTAGCCTTCTCCAGAATGCTGGTTCAGTCTCTGTACCATTATCAGGATGTATGTTAACTTGGATACGGGGCCAGAAGTGGGAACTCACCCTGAACCCTCTAGCTAATGGTTCCTTCTACCTAGCTTCAAATAAAACTGCTAAATGATACATATCTTCATTGAATGACTGCCAAAGGAAAATTCACATAGTAGTTTGTATTTTCTTTGTCTGATACTTAACTCACAGTACAACTTAATGCCATTTTGTTTAAAGAGTTATTTGTATAACTCATACCTTTTTGGGGTTTTTGGACAATGACCAAAAGAGTAGTTAGAATTTGGGAAAGGAGTCAACCATGTGGACCACTGCTTTTATTTTACCTTTACTGTAAATTTTGAATAAAATGGCAGAACACAATAGGTTAATGTGTAGAAAAATAAAATTTTTGCAGACTTGCCGAGAGCAATGAAATCTGAAACGTCTGTATTTTCTGTATGCATGTAATAGTGACCTGTTAGACTCTGGAAAGTCAGTTCCATGATCATAAAAAAATTTTTAAGTAAAATTTAATGAAATTTACAGTGCATATTGAAAGAATGTTACAAATGGAAACGTAAATTTTTTATAAACAAGGAAGCCCTGTTTGCTAAAAGTAGCATTAATATCATTTACATAAGATTTTGTTATACATCTTTGTAGTTTAGCAAATGCCCTTAATAATGAAAAACAATGAAAAGGTGTTAATTGTTTATTTAGAACAAAAATAATTTGGTCTATGTAAAAAGTAGGGAGGACCAAAAGATTTTCATATACGCTTATTTAATTCAAGTACATAGACTTTTCATGAATTTCAGAAGAATGGAAACACTTGAACACTAATAGAAAATCGCTAGTCTCATTTGAGCATTTAAATGCACGTGTAACCCTTTATTCCATCTGATTTTATAAAACTCAGACTCTGAACACAAACAGAAGCAGTGAAGTTCACATTTCCTTTGATAGGTTCCTAAGTATCAAATTGCATCAATTTCTTATGTGTTCAATTTGAAGACCACAGATTTAAAAACAGTACTTGCCTGATTCTTTTTAATTCCACAAGTACGTAGCATCCCAAAGTAACAATGTAAACAAACCTCTATGCTGCTCAATGAATGATTTCCAATCCCTACAAATAACCTCATGGCATCAGTCCTGATACGTGACTTTTGTGAAAGTTATGGTTTCATTCATGTCTTTGTGTTTGATGTAGCAAAGAGGGAAAAACTCCAACTACTGTATTTATTTTAAAAGAAATCGACGGGTTCAAGCACCTGTCTTCAGAAAAGCCAGCAGCATTTCTTAATATACTCAAAGTAAGATTTGGCCTAAGCCCTTAATACCTTCCTGAACAGCCAAGCAACAAAACACCCTGAAGAGATGTTGCATAGGGGAGAACATGGAGCAATTTGCATTTCCTCTGGATAAGAGACACAAGTTAAAGCGAATCCAGATCTTTTTGAATGAATGGCTGTCATGTTTAATACACTCATGGCTCTATAAAACTAGAGCCACTATCATATGTTTATATAGATATATACTTATTTTTCTCTTTTTTAATAAAGTCTTGCTTGCTTCAAAATTTAAGGATGAACTTTCCTTTTCCTGGTCAGTTACTTCAAGGAAACAATAAATAAAGTAGAAAAGGGTGAGCTGTTTTGCATATTTCTGTGGAAGAACGGAAAACATACTTTGAGAGGTTCAGAAGATTCACTGTACAGAGTGAACAGCTTATATACACTCTCTGTGCAATTTTTCTTGTTTCGAGTATTTCAAAGCAAGAGCTCCTCTAGACAAGCCACCGTCACTCCTGTCCAAATCCCTCTGTCTCTTCGATTGCAAAAAGAAGCTTTTCCTTGAGTTGTTCATAACTCTTATACGGCGGTAGATCCAGGCGATTAAAACTGAACAAAAACAAAAACAACGTCAGATGTATTTTTCAAGAAAACAAACTGAAGAAAGCCCATTTGAAAAATGGAATGCATCGAGGAAATTAGGCTATCTGTAAAAATATGCTGGAAGTATTCTAACAATTTGCTACTATATTATTACTTAATATAATATTGACATACCCTAATTTCTGATAGCAATATATGCACATTTTAAATCTATACATAAAGTAGATGATAACATGTTGATAAAGACTGGGATTTTAATTAATTCTTTTTTTAAAATCATTTTATTAGGGGCTCATACAACTCTTATCCCAATCCATACACACATCAATTGTGTAAAGCACATTTGTACATTCATTGCCCTCATCATTCTCAAAACATTTTCTCTCCACTTAAAGCCCTGGCATCAGGTCCTCATTTTTCCCCTCCCTCCCCGCTCCCCCTCCCTCATGAGCCCTTGAAAGTTAAATTGTTATTTTGTCATATCTTGCCCTATCCGACGTTTCCCTTCACCCACTTTTCTGTTGTCTGTTCCCCAGGGAAGAGGTCACATATAGTTCCTTGTAATCGGTTCCCTCTTTCCAACCCACTCTCCCTCTACCCTCCCAGTATCGCCACTCACACCACTGTTCCTGAAGGGATCATCCGCCCTGGATTCCCTGTGTTTCCAGTTCCTATCTGTACCAGTGTACAACCTCTGGTCTAGCCAGACTTGTAAGATAGAATTGGTATCATAATGGTGGGGGGCGGGGTGAAGCATTTAGGAACTAGAGGAAAGTTGTATGTTTCATCGTTGCTGCATCGCACCCTGACTGGCTTGTCTCCTCCCCGTGACCCTTCAGTAAGGGGATGTCCAGTGGCCTACAAATGGGCTTTGGGTCTCGACTCCACACCCACACCCACTCTATTCACAATATGAATTTTTGTTCTGATGATGCCTGATACCTGATCCCTTCGACACCTCATGATTGCACAAGCTGACAACCAGAGAATTCAGCGCCTTGTAAAACCATGCAGAGGGGGCCTGGTGGATTACGTACCGGGCCCCTCGCTAATCACAAGCAGCCACCAGTTGCTCTGCAGGAAAAAGATGAGGTTTTCTGCAGTAGTTATAGTCTTGGACGATAGGGTCACTGTGAGCTGGAATGGGCAGTGAGTTTAATTTGGTGATGGTTAAAACAAGACAGGCAGTTAAAACAGTGCCTTTTTCCAGGCCATTTTATTTCCTATCTTAAAGGATATGTTTATGGCAAAATTTGAAACAGGCAATATATGGCCCTCCCCTTTTTAATTTCATGCTTCATGGGAGTCATCTGAGGTCAGGAAAAGAACCCATCTTTCGTTGGCGAGACTGCCAGGTAACGTGCTGGACTGCTGACTGCAAGGCCAGTGGTTTAAAACCAGCAGCAGCTCCGTGGGAGAAATGAGGCTGCCTGCTCCCACAGGGTTGACAGCCTCCATGTAGTCACCGTGAATCACAATCAACGGAATGAGTGGGTTTGGGTATAGAAAAATAACCAGTCATTTTCTAATTGTATCTTTCATATGGCCTTTGTTAAAGTCTGTCATTCCCTCTACCAAACTTCTCCCACCATTTCCTCCCTGACATCTCTTACCACTGGATCCTTGCATACAGGCGTCCTCATCCTCTCGTATCTGAACCATTATACATTTCCTGTCTACTCACCTTGCCTTCATTAAAAAAAATTAAAATCTCCATAACCTATCTTGCCTTAGACCATTGCCAGAGGTACCTTTCTAATTAGAGATGTCCCAGTTTATTTCACTCTTCAAAATCCTGTTGCTTTCCAGAGGCTACTGGGAGGATGGGGAGAAGAGAAGCCCTGTGCGCTCTGTAGTAGAACTCCCCATCAACTGGTGCAGTGTCCTCTGAGCATGTGCCTGGCCTGGCTTGCCCATGGCCAGTAAAAACCATCAAACAGGAATTCAAAAGTTCTATTTCCTCCAAGAGGCTCTTGAGTGCTTTCCGATGAATTTATCTTTATGTTCTTTTATTTCCATCAGAGAGTTTACCTTGATCTACTTTGTATTACAATCAACTGGCTTCTCTCATTAGATTTCAGACCCACCAGGGCAGTCGCCTCTTTATTTGGACAACACTCATCTCTCTGCCTTCCACACAGCAGATGCTTAACAAATGCTGGCTTAACCAAATAAGAAAGCCGGTTATTTGAAAACAACCAACAGTGCTGTTTTTAGACATTAACCATTATGCTTTCTTCTGGTTTGCAGAGACATACTAAAATCCATTCATCTTTTACTTGCGATGGATATCACAATGTGGAACACTCTAAAACACCTTTCCTTTCAGCAATTTGCATCTGAGTTGTGTGTGTACATGCACAAAATCAAATCTGCTTCTACTTGGCATCGAGTGGCTGGCAATGATTTTTGGGTTACACCTTAGTTTCTGCTAAAAATGCATGTCCTTCTGGATCATCTCCTATAACCCAAACACGCATCCCAAGAATGGTCTGTGTCTTGCTGGATTTGAGTGATAGCCCCACTCCTATCCTCCATCTCAAATCTTTCCAATCTATTAATTTCGATTTTGTGATGTACAGTCTCCAACTGGCTTAACAACTATTCCTTCGTCTTAATTGAAATCTGGCTAGTCTGAAATATAATATTCGCCCTGTAGTCAGTGACAATTCTGAGGCACAGAGTAACCGCTATGCACCTTCTCTCTGACAGTGTTGCTATCTTCTACTGACCTCTTGTGGTCGATTGCTTCATTAACAGAAAACTTTTATCCCAGGCTCGGTCTCATGCAACTCTATGGCCTCCTAGTTCCCTGTGCTGCTTCTCTCCAGTGACCCATTTCTCCACTTTTCTTCAGTTACTAATCACACCTAGAACCACAAAAACAGGAAATGCCAACTTAAGTGCCCTACTTTCTGACCAGTTGTCCTTTCAGCTAGCTTCAGCTACAATTAACCTACTACTTTCTCATGATCCTCAGCGTCCTCTTATTCCCACTTCTTTATTCACTGCTCACCATTATAATTCCTGTAGAGCAGTGGTTCTCAACCTTCCTAATGGCACGACCCTTTAACAGTTTCTCATGTTGTGGTGAACCCCAACCATAAAGTTATTTTTGTTGCTACTTCATAACTGTAATTTTGCTCCTGTTATGAATTGGACGACCCTTGTGAAAGGGTCCTTCGACCCCCAAAGAGGTCGTGACCCATAGGTTGAGAACCGCTGCTGTAGAGACTGGATCCTCATTCTAACTGCTACTGTGCATATGCTTTTAAATCCTGGGCCCCTCTCTCCCTCTTTTAAACTTACGAGGAAAAACTAGAACCCTAAATTCATGGAGCCTTCTACAATCCTGTACTTGGAAGGAAAAAAAGAGAATCATACAACTAAGTAGGTTAAAAACAACTCCATGGAGTGATCCAGCACCGCCCGAACTGATTACTCTCCCATTCGCTCTTCCTCCTCACGAGTGCTCCTTTTTTCATGCTCACTGGTTTCATCTCACTTAGAAAAAACAGAGACCAGCACCTAACCCTAGTTTCCCTTCACAAAAGCTAAGCCTACCTGGAGTTTGCACTCAACCATTCCTACTCTCTCGCTACAGAAAGGAAGCATTCCTGATTCTATCATAAGCCATTTCCTCGACTTGAACTTAGAATCACCCCCTTTTCATCTTTCCTAAGAAATAGCATCGATTAGCTATGAGCTTTTCCCTAACTTCTACAATCTCTCCCTGCCTAATGGAGCCATCACTTGAGCCTACTTAGCTCTTAGAATAGTTGGTCTTGGGACCCTTTTTACTCTTAAAAACTACTGAAAATTCCAAAGAATCTCTCCTCCCCGCACCCCTTACTAATGTGGGTGATACCCATTCACATTTCTTATGCTAGTTCAGTGCAGCCCAGTGCAGTGGATTATTCAATATGGCTCTTCTAGCCAGAGTCTAAGAAGCCCAGAGGGTGTAGTGGTGACTCACTGGGCTGCTAACTGCAAGGTCAGCAGTCTGAAACCACCAGCTGTTCCATGGAAAAATAGGGCTTTCTCCCCCCGCAGAGTTACGTCTCAGAAACTCACTGGAGCACTTCCACCCTGCCCTGCCAGGTTGCTATGTGTCGGCAATGACTTGACGGCAGTGAAGAGCCACAGTCGTGGTTACTCTGCCCTAATGACCTCTCCTTCTGGGTCTAAGAAAAGGTGAGGGAAGAGGCTGATGGGATGCAGCCTTCAGTGACTGGTAACAGGGTTAATTGTGATGGCCGTCCTGCTGGCTCTAGAAGGAACCATTTTAGATGTACCAGTAAGAGAAAAAGCGGGGTGGAGCACATTCTTGGCACTCTAAGACCCCTGAGCTTTGAACTTCCCTGATCTAGGAGGCAGCAACACAAAGAGTCACAGCTGGAGCCACAGTGGTGACCTGCCCAGCACACAAAGCAAGTAAAGCTGAGTGGCTTCGGGCAGGGTGGAGGGACAGCTGGGTTTGCTGGCCCAGAGAGCTAGAGATGAGCCCCTCGGTGGTGTGGAGGCTTACAGTGGAGTGCTTGGCTTTGGGGGCATTTATTAGCATTCCTAAAAGAGCTTTGTAACATTGCCCAGCAGGGCAGAGGCCAACAAGCTGTGTGGCTCAGGGGCCTGCTGTCTGCCAGGCTAAGAAGCAGCTATCCTAGCTGAATAATTGAGCATCTGTAACCCATTTACTTCTTTAATGAACCCTGTAACTGTGAGCACTGTCGATGAGCAGTTCTGTAGGGCCATTGCAATGGATGATGGAACCCAGCTGAAAAGCAGAAAGAGCCGTGGGAGGGGCATCAGGTGTGAGAATGGGTAACGTGGGGAGGCCTGGCCTTGGCTTCTAAGAAACCTGCTCTGGGTCACATGGAGGTGAGTGACTTTCTTCCCCCTTGTGCAGCTGGAGGAGCCCGGATGGCAGAGGAGTTCTGCGTTGGGACTTGATCCTCAAGGTCTGCAGTTTGAAACCATCAGCGGCTCCACAAGAGAAAGACAGCGTTCGACCCCATAGAGAACTAGACTCAGAAACCCACAGGGACACGGCCACCCTGTCTTCGGGTCACTGTGAGCGGGCACAGATTGGAAGGCAGTGACTTGGGTGTTTGTGTAGCCCCATGTCATTTTTCTTTTCAGTTATGAATTTAAAAACTGAGATACTAAACAAACACTTTAAAATTCATGCTGAATTAAGATAAGCATAACTTGTTTTTATGTAAAAAAGCTTTAAAAAGAATGAAGGAGCGGTCTTGCATTAAAAATCTCATTAATGCCTCACTTAATTGAAGACACCTAGATTCAACGCGCAGCCTTCAATCTGTTACATGTGATTGTTTGGTTTAAGTGCATGAAAATAGCTCACACAAATACGCTTGGAAAATGGAGAAACACTAATCATTGCCCCCCAACATTTCTGTGTGTGCCTATGTGTGTATCTGTGTGCCTCTCTTTCATTATCCATTCATTCATTCTCTCCCTCCCCTGAACGCCCATAACCATTAAATAGTCAAGTCATTTTCAAGGTAATTGTGGCAATTTTTTAATACTATACTAAACTTGATAGTTACTTTATAAGATCACACAAGACAGATTCTGAAACATTATCAAATACTTTTTTACTTTCTACATTAAAAGTCATTGTTATGTTTTTTTTTAACCCATGCATGGTTATGTAACAATGTGTACTGATAATTTGGAAAAACTGGCTCACTAAATGATAAGGACTTTACACATGTCGGCATATTTAATGAGAGAGAAACCATAATTTTTAACACAAATCTCCATTCTAAAATACTTGGGGCACTTCTAAGGTCGAGATGGGATACCACTTTCTCCCAACTATCTAATTTTTACTTGAAAGCTTGATTTTTATCATTGCCAACGAACACTGTCAGTTTTCCTTGAAGTGACAGACTTCATTATTTTTCAAGAAAACGTCTGTCAGGTATCAATGTCTGACTTTGTCAGTCATTCTTTTAAGAAAAAATGGTATTCCACAGCAAGCAAATTCACTCTTAACTCGAGCCATGGTCCGCAACGGCCCGAGCTTTCCCTCCAGAGTCACCGTTCTCTGGTGTGCGGTGATGTGCGCATGCTTCCCGGTTTATCTCACACACACAATTATTCATGCCAAGCCTCAAGATGGAATCAAGTGAATCATTTTTACTACTTTCTAATAAACCTGGCTTTTTGTTTTAAACTGGAAGTGTCTGGTGGTGAACACTGTAGAAAGCATAGCGTGGATTACTAGTGGAGCCATGCCAAGACACTAGCAGTTTCACCTGCCACTGCTTTTGCACCAGCCAATGTCCACACACAGGAACCCTGAGCTCTGGGCCACCACCGCCTTTTGCCTGCATTCTACTGCCAGAGCTGAACTCTTCTCCTGCGCTCACCTCATCATCCAATTCTCTGCACCGCGCCCACCCACTTCCTATTTAAAATTCTTCCAAGGGTTCTTATAGCCCAACACCAACTCCAAAGTCCTTATAATCCCCTGAAGGCTCTGTACAGTGTATGACCGGCCCACCCTGTGCCCTTCTGGCCCTCTCTCTCCTGACTCACAAAGTTACGTTCACACTGGAACCTTTCCTTGAACAATGATTCCCACTTGCAGGCCTTTGCAGAGAAACGTGCACAAAGAAGGGTCTCCTTCTGTTTTCTTCCCACGGCACTGTTTCTCTCACACAGGACCCTGGCCACCCACTCGACTGCACGTTTCCGCTGTTTGTTCTCTATCATGGTACCCCGAACACGTCCCAGGAAGGACTGCCTACAAGTTACAAATAGTGATCGGCGTACCTCTTTCTCATTGGTGTTCCCTGATGGGGACAGTGGGCACTTCGATCACACTTTATATACAGTGGGGACTTGATAAATAGGTAGTGAATCAGCAGGTACATTTCCCAGATGTTTCTATGACTGAACGACAAATCACTCTAGAATGGTAACGTGACAGAATGCAGTATTATCAGGGCTGTTCTCAAGAGTGAAATTCTGCCTTCTTTAGTGAAGAGCCAGTTATATTGGACCTTAAGTATTTACAAGCAAACAAACCGATTCTCTTGTACCTTCCTATTTAAGAATCTTGAACTTACCACGTGTGGCTTCTTGGTAACCAGGTGTCTTTACCGACTTTTTCAATGCAAAATTTCTGAGGCCCATTACTTCCTAAACCAAGAAAAGAAAACAAGATTTATCTGGTCCTCTAAGCTTTCTGATTTTGACAACTGCATAAGCAGCATGCCCCACAATAACAGAAATGATACAGAGTAAACGGAATGTAAATGGCTTCTGCCTCAATTGCCGCAAAAGTGCAGCAGTAAGAATGGATCACTGGACAGATTAAAAAACTCTACAGAGATGCTTGCTCCCTTCCCAATTACCCCAGAAAGCAAACAACAGACACCTGGGCCAGGTGAAGAGTCTCATTTTTGTCTTACAAAGACAGTTGGCATTAACCAGTCAGTTACTTTCTTCTGGTTGATTCCCTACAGATAGCGCACAGGACAATAATCCTTAGATTCAAGCAAAGCATACAGCCCAAACCCACTATTACTACAGAGAAATGGCATTTACCCATAAGCTCAGCAAATCCTCCCAAAGGTAAACGGCAGGTTCCGGTGACAAACTGCAGAAGTCGCATTCTTACTTCATTGTCCGTCTCTTTCACAAACTGTGCAACAAAACCAAGTTGACTTTAATATAAGATAAGTACCTTCGATCACACAAGCTAGTGGACAGACACTTAAACATTATGAAAAAGAAAAGTTTAACTTGTAACTGGTGATAAGAAGTGGTCACACCATTGAACACTTATTAAGACTGGACACGGGATTAAGGATACTAGCAACTTCAGTTAATCCTCCTGAGCACACGACGGGATGGCCGCGTTTGGGATTCTATCCCTCTTGTGCCGACGTCATGGAGGCATCAAAATGGGGAGTCACCTGCCTAACAAGCTCCACCTGTAAGAACAGCCATCACCTGTTGAGGGCTCCTGCCAAGCCCTGTGCCAACTTCTTTTCAACCTCATAATTCTGTAAGATAAACACCATCACTATCATCCTCACTGATACAAGGAAAGGAAGATCTAAAGGTTAAATAACTTGTCCTCAAACTATTAATAAGTGATAAAACTAGGATTTGAACTAGTTTTTCTAAGTTCTAAACCCTTATTCTACCCTGTCCAGAACCAACTGTCTCACGCCCTTTAAGCCACAGAAAAGAAATTAACCCCTCCTGCTTTTGTGATATTTTCTCCCACTTCTCTGTGTACTTCCTGACTGGTACTTGAAGACCCAAAGCAAACACTCCTCTCAAAAGATCCCTAGTTCACTGACCATTTTTTCTTTCTTTCTTTCTTTTTTAAAAAATCTTCTCCACTGTTTCATTTTTAAAAATAATTTTATTGGGGTTTCTTTTTTTAAAATTATTTTATTGGGGGCTCATACAACTCCTATCACAATCCATCCATCCATACATACATACATTGTGTAAAGCACATTTGAACATTCATTGCCCGACTAGTTCTTTTCAAAGCGGAACCTACATAAGTAGATAATGTACTGAAACACTGATTTGAATTGTTCAAGTATTAAATATCTCACCATTTGAAAGAAGGTTAGTTCTATCTCATAACAGAAGTTAAGAAACCTAGAGATCAACCTGGGAGTAGAAATCTTAAAAATAGGGAATGAACTTTAGATAAGTGTAAGAATAGATTTCAATGCTAAACATGATAAAAAATGGGGTATAGAATTGTGCTAAGGCACAAATTTCCTTAAGACGAAGAAACAGATTACCAGGTCTGCTGTTAATTAGGTTTTAAAACAAACCTAATTCAGAAAACAGTACCAATCATTTGGTCTTCAATAACTTATCAACTTCAGCCCCAAACACCAGGGAGCACCACAGGTAATCGCAGGAGAGACGAGGCTTTCTGCTTCTGTAGAGGTTACAGTGGGAAACCTACTGGGGGCTCTTCTGCCCTGCCCTGCAGGGTCGCTATGAGTCAGAATCAACTCAGTAGCAGTGAGGAGAGTGGAGTGGGTAAGGGATCTAGCAAAGAGCTTAAAGGGGAGATTACAAACACCTGCACAAATCCAATAAGCAACGCAATTCCAGTGTTATGCCTGACAATGGATTTATTCCGATCTTTGATTACTTGCTATTTATATTTTTACGACAGGTAATGCTTGTGCACGGTAGGGAATTCTAAAGGAAATAAAAAGTGGGGAGGAGGGGAAAGAGGAGGAGCTGATACTAAGGATTCACGTAGAAAGAAAGTGTTTTGGAAATGTTGATGGTAACGTGTGTGGAGCTGTGCTTAATACAACTGAATGATGGATTGTTACAAGATTTGTAAGACGCCCCCCAATAAAATGATTAGACAAATACAAAACTCAGAATTCAAAAATAAACAAACGAAACAAGGAAATAAAAGGGCACAAAATGAAATACCAGCTTTCCCATTGTTGCCTCCAATTGCTCAGCGCCCATCTGCATGGAATGGCTGCCAGTTTGGGAGTCTTAGTTTTCCAGAGACAATGTATTCAAGAACTAGCACACATTTTCATATACAGAATACAAATTCTCTTTTTAACCAAATGCATCATATCGCATTGTTTAACATCCTTCTTTCCCCGAGTGTTGCTTTGAACAAGATTCTTTTTTTCCCCCTTTTCCATTTTTATGGAGCGCTCTTACAAATACTCTAAGATAGAGACTGGCTATCCTCTTAGTTACACACCCAGTCTCTGCCTGAGTGTCTGTTGGCATACACATAATGTAATAAAGACACAGGTGTCTGACACTGCACATGTCGAGAAACACACACATCACACATTTCTTTAAAATATGGGACAATACTCTGCATTAACACAAAACCCAGGATGCTTTCCACCTCAAAGTGAAGCAGTTAAGCAGAAGGAAACCAAATGTTCAGCCACCAAGTTGTTAAAATTAATCTCATTAGGAGCATTTTCCTCCAAGACTTTAAATGCAAATACCTGCCAAAACCAAATGATTTGCTTGCTGTTTCTTGTATAATGTCGATGAACAGTATTTCTTTGCCAATCTGTCAAGTCTACCTCCTGCATGCCACACAGCATAACCTGGGAAACAAGCACAGTGTCAGGCCACAAGAAAGATTTGGTGAATAGTTAGTTGTATGACTGGAACTTTCTAGCACAATTATAAGAATAGCTATGTGCACTACAAACAGCGATCATAACCATCAACTCCAATATTGACAGTGACTTGCCAGAGAGATCTTTGCTATTTTATCATTAGTGAACTCAAACCCAAACCATTATTTAGGGCTCTTCGACCCTCTTCCTAAGGAAGAGCATTGGTTGTATTAGCATATCTGGGGTAGTTGCATAATCTGTGGTCAATTTGAGACTTAAGATGAAGGGGTGAGGTTTAGCCTGTCAATCAGGTAGTAGCTTGATGACCTCATTTGAAGGAGATAAGGAGATAAATAGCTCGCTGGAGGCAGGACACACATACACTCCCTGGGAGACATTCCAGCTGACTAGAGCCCTGAGCTGGAGTCGCCCCGTGGAGACCCCTGCCAGCGCTGAGATGCTTACAATGCCACTGGATCCACATGACTTCCCACCCACTGGCCTGTGATCTTCCTGCATTCAGCATCATTGTATGTGTCTCGTGAGTCAGAAGAGGACTTTATAAAGTGGTATC